CCGACGTAAGTTTTACACTTTTTTATTATTAAACTTACAATTGGCACGTGTAAAATTTTTTTATATTTTCCGGATGTTAGACACTGGTTTGCATGTAACAGAATTTTAAGTAAAATTTTTTTCAAAAATTTTTCATTTTAAATAAATTTTAAATCATTTAAAATAATACCACCCTAATTTTAAATGTCAAATAGTGTATTAATAGACTTTTGTCATGCCTGGCACGCCACAGTTTTGTAATTTAGAGATTTCGATATCAAGTACAAGTTTACTTAGTAAAGTAAAAAGGTTTTATTTAAGAAAATGTTGCATTTTTTGGTAAGTTTTTTTCATTTGACGTTACACGACGTAGGATGGTCGGATATTTATTATTATGGTATATATAGTTAGCTCGGTCTAAAAGACCTAAATTTTGTGCGAATTTTAAAAAGATAGAAGTCATTTTCTGTCCCACCTTTTAAAAATAGCTCTATTAGTTGATATAATATGTCTTTAAATTTAATGTAATAGAGAGATTTTCTCAAAAAAAAATTATTTGTTGTAGAGTTCTATTCTTTTTTAAAACATGTACTCGGAAGAATTTGAGCGCTAGGATCATTGCTAAATTTAGACTGATCTCGACAATCATATCTAAATTTGGCAGGAAGAAAATAATTTTTTAACCAAAACTAGGTCTTCTGATTTAGGATTCTTGGTGACTTTTTGGTTTTGATTAACTTTTTTTCTACTAAAGAAATGCAATCTTACTAAAAGTATTAAAATAGCATTATTGTTTATATGAACAACTCTGTTTACTTACTTCTACCAGAACTAACATGTGACAATTTGGGTATTGAACATTTAGTTTCTTCCTGCTTTAATTCTTTTTTTTGATATAGTACAAGTCATAGGAGCACCTTGACTACAAGCCATTTTGTAAAGTTTATACAAACAGGTATATAAAGTTCTATTTTTTTAAAGGAATTGGAAAAATGAATTTTTTCACACGAAAATATAGGTGATACAAAAGTATAATAATAAGCTTATTTATATGATCCGAATTAATAGTTTTTATAATAAATAAAGATGAAAAAAAAAATCAATATCTAAATCAACATCAATGTCCAAATGGTTTTTAGAAAGATGATACCCATATGCATTGATTTTGTTTGATCCCCAAAATTTGGTATGGTATGATCATAATGTTATGAATACTTTATACTAGCAAAAACCTATTCATTAGTTTAATGGGCTGTTGAATAGTAAAATAGTTTTTTTAGCAGAGCAAATAAACTTTTTTTAGGGTTAATTATCATTCTACTGACCAGTTTACACATTAAAAATACTCATGTTTAACATCAAGACACAATAAGACATAAGGTTTGAAAAAAGGCCTGAAAAACCAAATTGCTAACAAATCAATTAATATGACATTGATTGGACTATGGTTGCTTGCCAGAACTCCATTGGCAGTTTTGACATGTTACACAATAATTGTTTATTAGAGCTTCACATTTGGGGGTTTTGGCAATTAGCAAAGTTTCAGCAGGTTACATACTAATTGTTTAGTAGAGTTTCAGCAGTCATTAAGAGGCTTCAAGCAAGTAATCTTAGATTGGACACTTGCATCAATTTTAAGTAATCTTAAATGTAAATTTTACATTTTTGACCAGGGACAGTTGCTGGACTGCCTGAAAGTTTAGTGATGGCCTATAAGGCCCAGGACACTGGGTCAATTTGAAAATTTTTAGTGATGAGAACCTAAAAATTTTAGTTATGTTGCCTAATACTAAAATTTTATAATAGGATTTCTCATACTGTGTGCAACTTTGAGAAGAATGCAAGGATAAAATTCCCATGACAAATTTATTATTATTTTTTGAAATACAAATTATAAATAAATAAATTATTTATATTTAAGAAGATCATCAGGACAAACCCATTCACTCTTAAGTCGTCCTCTCAAATCTTTTCTCAAAATTTTTCCAGAAGGACTTTTAGGGTATCTTATCAATAATGTAGACACCACCATGTAATTTTTTATGAGGAGCAACTTTTTCAGCTACATGATCTTGAATTAGTTTTTTGGTTTGTTGGTGATCATTGGCAGCTTCAGGAGGAAGATTTTGTAGTACAATGTAGGCAACTGGTAATTCCGTTGCATCTTGTTCTGAATATATACCAACTACAGCTGCATCGGAAATGATGGGATTTGTAAGTAGGACTGATTCAAGTTCTGCAGGTGCAACTTGAGAGCCCTAAAAAATTTTTTTTGAGGTGATAGTGATGGGAAGAATTGATTAATCAAAAAAAGAAAAAAAGAAAAAAGGCAAACCTTATATTTGATAAGTTCTTTTATATGATCAACCAAAAAAATTTTCCCTTTTACAATAATAATAATAATAAATATGTTAATTAAACATGAAAAAGAATATTTTATTTTATGATATTACAATAATCTACCATTTTCATTAATAAAAGCAACATCTCCAGTACGGAAAAATCCATCTTTACCAATACATTCTTTAGTGGCCTGTTTATTATTAAGATAACCCTATTTTTTTTTTCATAGACATGTGAAGGATCAATTAAAATAAATTGATTGCATATTAAAACTTACAAACACAATATTATGGTGGGAAGAATTTCCTGATGTAGAAGTTGCAGCAATGATAGACCATTCATCTTGAATAGTAGTATATTGCTCAATTTCATTGTCTCCTCTGATTAACAATACTCATATAAATATGATTGGTACCTTCATAATGTTTGGACCACGAACACATAGTTCACCTTGTTCATTAATCCCAAGTTCTATCAAATATAAATATATAATAATCAATTAATTGTTTAGTGATAAATAATGATTCATTGTTAATTACCTTTTCCACTTTCATCAATAATTTTTGCTTCTATATTTGCTATAAGAATTCCAGATGATCCTAATTTTTTTTTTTTCAAAAAAAAAAAAAATATATTATTCATTTATTTCCTTCTGTCCTTCCTTCAACAATAAAAAAAAAATATCTTTTTAATTACCAATTGTGATATCATCAGTCCTATCCATTGTAATGATTGGTGTAGTTTCAGTAAGTCCATAACCTTGCTTAAGAGGTGTACCAAATTTGTTGATGAACATATTACTCAACTCTTCACTTAATGGAGCAGCAGCACAGAATAAAAATTTCAAACTTGTTAAATCATAATTGTCAACAGCTGGATCTTTAACCAGTTTAAGCACAATTGGTGGAACTACATATATAATATTTATTTTATGATCTTGTATTGCATGACAAAATGAATCTATATCAAATTTTGATAAAATTATTGCTGATGCTCCCTATTGTAATTATAAAAAGAATTTTATGAGAGCTTTTTAAAAAAAAATTTTTCAAAAAAAAATCCATTATAAACTTACACTATAAAGTGCTTGATGAATAATAAAATGCAATGCAAACATATGGTATAATGGCTGCAAAAAATAAAATAAAATATCGTAATCAAATTTGAATCATCAATCATAATTCATAAATCACAATCATCAATCATAATTAATATTTAGTATTAGTATCACCAATACTCCCAAGAATGCAAGATCAGGAGTAAATTTCTCAAAATGATAAACTTGTTCAATGTTAGCAACCATATTATAATGTGTGGTCTCAACACCTTTTTGTCTGCCAGTTGTGCCAGAGCTATAACACAAATAAGCAACAGTTGATTTGACTTCCTCATCAGTTGTATAATGAATAATTGCTGAATCATCATCATCATCCTTGAATAGACTGATGAATGTTCTAATGCCATGATCGAGATCTTCATTTTCATCAAATACAAAGATCTTGGAAGTTGGTATTTTTACATTGTTTGCAGCTTTTAAAACAGTGAGTAAGGTTGACAGATGTGTAACAATGATTTGATGCTTTGGAATCGGTTAATTGATATGTTAATTCATCAACTGTATAATCAGGATTGGCTGTTGTAACAGTTCCACCTGAAAAAAAATTCAAAAACAAATTAATTATTTTGCCAAAAGAATTTTTTTTGTGCATAATTGTTAAGCAAGTTATTGGTTAATTAATTACCAAATGCAATTGTTCCTAATAATGCAATGGGATAATGTATGTGATTTGGAGAAACAATTGCCAGAACTTCTCCAGGTTTAAATCCAATTGATTTAATCCACTAGCAAACTTTTTGGTAAAACTTTTAAATTCACCAAAAGTAATACTTTTATTGGTTAATCCATCAATGTAGATTGGTTTAGTGTCAGGAATTGAGTTAGGATTGCTGATTACATGATGATAAAGGTTAACATTTGGAATAATTAGATCAGGTAATTCGGATTTAAATATACCCATATTTTAGATCTTTTGTCTCAAAGTGAAAAGAAAATATTATTTTCAAAAAAAAAAAGAAAAATATTAATAAAACCCTTTTTAAACATGTAAAAGAACTAGATTTTTGGCAAGTTTATCATAATTTACGGAAAATTTTGGTAACGCAATGCTTTGCCCAAATATAAATTAGATTGATTAAAATTTTATATACAATCAATCAAACCTTTTCAAGTGTGCTGTGTGAAAGAGGATTCTCAAAACAGAATATAATAAAAACAAAAATAGAATATTTTAGATAATGAAATCCGAGAGAATTTTAAATTCACGTGCGTGAGATTCAAATGAATCAATCAGAATTTTGTCTAAACCCGGTTTAAATACAACAACAACATTTTAACCGGATTTTTCAAAAAAAAGTTATTATTATTATTGTTTGATATTAAAGTGTAATTAACCGTTTTATTATGTAATAAAATATAAAATTCCAAAACCATGCTAATTGTATATATATAGTTAAATTGTTCAAAGCCATGTTATTGTATTGTGTATATATAGCTAAATTGTTGAATTTTAAATAATGACAATTGTAACTCATGCATGTACCAATCCTGAAGGGAAAGCACAACATACTAATGCTAATACACAACATATTAAAATGTTGTAATTCTAAACATTCCAAATACTCATTCTCAATATTCTTCCAATATATCATTAAAAAAAATTTATTTTATGATTAAGAGGACACTGGGTAATTATAAATGATTATCATCCCACTATGTTGTGGGACTTTACACAATACCTAACCACATGTTCATCAAAGTCAATGCCATCCAACAACATAAATAAAATATGTTTCTTTTAATGATTATAAATCTATCAACTAGAACTTGAGATAAGGCCGTGTAACAAGACAAAATTTTGGCCATTTTTACCTCCATAATACAATTTTTTTATTATAATAAAACAATCATACATGTTAGCCAAAATTAATTCTATTAGTAAATGATCATTGCCAAATTCAAAATACCAAAATAGTTTTTCATAATGGCTGAAATTAATTATGATAATTAATATAGAGAATATGGAAAAGCCAAAATATTTGGCAAATGCAAAAACAATTTTGGCTAACATGTATGGTGACAATATAAATATAATTAATAAAATTACAACTATTATTAATACATAGAATAAAAAATAAAAAATATTGATACAATAGAATATTTATAATTTGTTCATCATACTAATTATAAAATGTATAGACCCTAATTAATTATTAGAATACTATGTTGAATGTTCTGAGATACTATGTTGATCATTAACATCAACTTCATTGTTAGGATCATTCCCCATAAATATCTCTTCAATAACATCAATTGGTGATTTACTATCAATATTAAGAAGAAAATGATTTGTTGCAAGTGATGAAGTTATTGGCGTTGTGTGATTTGCTTGTGCATAATAAGCAGATCTCTGCATTGTTCCAAAGAATTTAATTGATCATTTAATTTCAATTATTAATTATTAATGATTTAAAAAACTATTTAAAGAACTTACCAGTGAAGATGTTGATTTAGATTTTGTTATATAATGTGCTGTATTTAACCCAACTTCTATTAATATTTAATTGAATAATATATTATAAGCAATAAATAAAATTACTTGAATAAAATCATTTTCAAAATAAATAAGTTTTACTTGATCTTTCATCATCTTGTTGTTCATTATGACCTGATATCATTCCAGCAATACCATTAAATATTTGAGTTTTCTTTAATGGAGGTCTGAAATAAAATAAATTCTCTTAGGAAAAGAAAATAATGATAACAATAATGATAATAAATAATAAATAATAAGTACACTTTATATTGAAGTTCCCCAAAAGTTTTCTTCATATTAATTGATAACTAAAATAATAATAATAACAATATGAGTAAATTCTTTTTAAATAAATAAATAAATAAATAATTAAATTTTTAAAATATTTATTTACCTTTAATGTAGAATTAACCTTACTTTCACGTAATAAAAAGTGCCTAGTTATTATGGTGGACCCAACATATTCAGAAAGATTGATTTTTAATCTTCCAATATTACTAATTTCTTTGCCACCATTTAATTCCTAATTATTTAAAATCAGTCAGCAATAAAACCACCATAATTATAATTATAATCATAATTATAAATTTTTTCTCAAATCACCTGTTTTATTGATAGATGCAACTCACAAGGTAATAAAAAATTATCTTTACCTATAACAAGTTGTACTGAATCCTGTATTTTATGCTGCCAGCGCACTGAATGATCTTTAACGGGTGCCCTAAAATAATAATAGCAATAATGAAAAAATTATTATATTATCATCATTATCATCACCTATTATTATTATTACCTATTATTATTATTACCTATTAGTCTTACTATTTGCATTTACTCCTCTATGCTTGAATTTCCATTTTACATAATAAAGTCCTGTTATTGAAGGAACGTTTAAAAGTTCTTCTATTGTTATTTCAATATCAAAATTTGCTTTGCGATTTTTTGGAATAAATAATAATGGTAAAGGCATTTTTTTGTATATACATTTTTTTGCTAATATTTTATATTTTAATATTAATGATTATTAATCGGCCCGTCCATATTTGAATGATTAGGGGTTATGGGACTGATTAAAAAGGGAATGACTTTTATATTGTGTTTATATTTTGCTTACAATTTTGGCGGAAATTGGTCATTAATTTTCATTTTTGTGATATATATAAATTGTGATACAACAGGGTAGATCTGCAACATGTAGTAAAATTTCTTATTATATATTACCATCAAACTCCAATTTTCAGCCCGTATGCATTTAACTTAATAAATTGGTGAGACCCTCTTTTTGTTTCATTTAATGATATGGTGAGTAGATTAGGGAAAAGACAAGAAAATATAATAGGTGTTTAGAAATGAGGCTAAAAATACTACTATTACTAATTAAATATCTCGGTTTTACGGATAAAAGGCGGTTCTATAATAAACCTTAACAAAAACCTTCTCGATATAGCAGTTATCTCGATTTAACGGATTTTTGGAAAATTTCAAACTATCCGTGTAGTTGGCTTGGTCTAAAATTTTGTGCGAATTTTAAAAATATATAAGTCATTTTCTGTCTTACTTTTTTAAAAAAATAGCTCTATTATTTGATAGAATAGGCCTTTAATTTTAATGTAATAGAGAGATCTCAATTATTTTGTTGTAGAGTTCTATTCTTTTTTTAATGTGCTTTGCGTTAGGATCATTGCTAAGTTTAGACTAGCTTTAGATCATCATTACTAAATTTAGATCAATCATCAACAATCATATCTAAATTTGGCAGGAAGAAAATAATTTTTTTAATTAATCGCATTTTTGAACGAAATCATGAAATCGCAATTTTTGAAATTCGAGCGCGTGGCGCAGCAATTGGAGGTCTTTAGACCGAGCCAACCATATTACCATTACGTAAAATGCAGTTTTTCTGATATTTTCCAGATAGAAAGAAATCTCCAATGAAAACAAAACTTCAATATTTTTTATAGGTAAAGGAGTTTAATGGTGCACATTTCTTTTCCTGCTTAAATTATTGTTATCAAAAAAAAAAATTTTGTTTTGACTTTCGTATAATAATAATTAATAGTAACAGTAATTTTTGAATACTTTCCGTGTCGCTATTTCTTGTCAAAACTCGTAATTTTGTTTTTCTTATTCTGGCATATTAGAGCCGTGCGACAAGGTTTAATTCTCTATAACTTGCAAAGAAGAGGCGAGGTAGGAGAGAGCATAGTTCATTTATATAGGTGATTTTTTATAAGATTGTGATCTGTGAAAACCTGTTCACTTTTTTTTTCCACAACAATGAATTAATTTAAAATTTAAGTAAATAATTAACACGTATTAGAAATGACAGAATTTCACATATGTCTAATTAATTAATTATTAATTAACGCGAAGAAATTTATTATTTGCCATGTAATGATCTCCTTCCAAAATCCGTAAGTGTTTATTTCTTAATAATTTATGAGTGAGTGAGTGAGCTAGTAGAAAAAAAACTTTTATTTGAAATCGATCTACGTAATTTTATTTTAATTGCAAAAAAAATAAGTATTGCGGAAGATGGTATTTTATTTTTAAAAACCAATGTCTTTATTGGTTGCTAAATAGAAATGAAAAAAAGAATTAAAAAATTATTCAGCATCACCTTCATCATTGCCTCTATTTCGTTCTCATTGTTAATATTTTCTACTGCATCTGTACGAGACAATTGCGCTCATTGCATTTACCAGTTCTTATATATATATATATATATAATAAACTTGTGATCTATGAAAATCTGCTTACTTTTCTTCCACAGTCACGCACGAATTAATTATAAATTTAATAAATAAATGATTAACATGATAGGATTTTACATGTATGGTCCTCGGATGTCTAATTATTATCATCATCATTATTATTATCGTTATTATTATGTACTCTCATCAAAAAATCACTGGATAAGAAAAACCAAAAATTACAATGTTTTTAACATGGTTATGGCAGGAAAATAAAGAAATATTATGCTAAACTGATATAATGTATCTTGTCGGTATAGCATGTTGGGGAAATCCGTAATAATAATACGATTGGCTGAATAGGTTAATATACAATAATAAACGATTGAGTCGTGTATTTTTATAATATTGCGACACCAAAGAATATCATCAATTTGAAAATTTGGAACTTGGCACAGCATTCGATCTCTTGCACTATTAATCGAGTTTTCGAGTGTATACCTTCTGCAGAATTCAGAAGCACAAACGAAAATCTCAATGCCTCGCTTTTGCTTCCTCATTTGTAAACTTGTTACTATCACATAGTTCATTCTCTCCATAACGAACTATTTGACTTAGTATTAGGAAAAATGATTGTTTATACATATGTAAACTCGATAAGTCGGTCATGTGGGGGCGAGCTTATATGACCGTCTTATCGAGTAAACCGACTTATCGAATTAAATTACTTAA